CTGTATTTTGGACATGTTTTTTCGTTTTTGTTCAAATTTAGTACATTCATTATGTATTATGCATGTTAAGATACATGTTCATGACAAAACAAAACATGCATAGATCATTCAGGATAACATTAGCCAGTTTGGTTTGCAAACAAATTTATGAATGGCAAGATTTCATGTAAAACGACTATGGTTGTGAGAAAACTTTAACCAACACTCCAAGATGTAAAAACTTGATATATACATTCATGTTTGTGCTTAATTCTCATCAAATCATTAAGTGCCTTAATTTCCTATCATGATAGAAAGAGTGTCATTAGGTAACACCATAACAGTTAACATAACATAACATATGCTTACAATACTGGTGATATGCATTTTAGTTGAGTTTGGATATAAAAATTGCATAAATATGAGAAATAGCAAATAGAAATATAAAATTTATATAAGATAAGATAAGTCTTTATTACAACCATATTGAAAGGAATTCAATTTAGATCAATACAAATGTAATAAAGGTATAACAAACTATTCTACAAACTAAAACTATACAGATACAGTAAAGAAATATTACTAGTACTTGAAGATAAAAAATTAAAATATTACATTTCCATGAGTTTTTGTTTAACATAATATTGTTTTCTTGTCGTATATGATGTTTTTATGTATTTAATTAATTCTTTTATCAATTGTCTGTTCTCAGCATTTAAAATGTAAACAAGTTTTTTTGTATTATTTGCTTGAACAAAATTTTTTCAGTTTTTCTGTTTAAATTCATCTTTGTTGATGTTTTTTATGTTATGTATATTGTAAATTTGTTGTAATTTCTGAAGTTTTGTAAACCAAGAATCTTTGTATTGATTCTGTTGCTGGTCCATTAATGTATCGTATGCCAAGCTTATTGGACCATTCCTCAAAATATTGAGATAATATTTTATTGCTTGGTATTGTATTTTAGCAATTAAAGGGAGCTACCCAATCTTCATTCTAGTGCCAATGTTGCTGGTCTTGTTATAGACATTTAGTAGGTGTCTACATAACCTGAGGTGGTGTTTTTCTGTTTTTGTTTTGTCCCAGTGTTCCTGATTTATAATAATACCCCAAATTTCTGATGCACATGTAAGAATAGGCATTTGAATACCTCAAATAACTGCAGTTGTAGATTAATGTTTGTTGATCCCCATAATAATGTTTTTGTCATTGCTTCTGATTTCCTAACTTTATCAGCCAGTCTGTCAATTGTACAGTTCAATGACCCATGTTTATTAAATGTATAAAACACCTAAATAAGTAAATGTATCTTTTATCTAATTAAATTATTGCCAAATGTAAATTGTGTGTTTCTAGGTTTTTGCCCAATTTTGGTGAAAATCATTATTTTTGTCTTTTTGGTATTTAATTATTTAGATTAGATATATTAGATTGCAAATTATTAGTCTTCTATCCACTCTCAATTACTGACCATACACTACAAATTTATCAGAAACAATTAACCTGGTCAGATGACCAGTGATTTGCATATCAAAATTGATTGCATATATTGTGCATGTAGCAATACATTTCCATAACAATTAAATTTTTGATGAGATAAAAGACAACAGATTTTCAGCCTATTATTGCCACTTGGACATTAATAATGACTTGTTTTTTACATATTACACACTTTACAACCAATGCTATTCTTGGGAACTTTAATAGCAGGGTAAGTTCCTTAGCTAACTACGACTTGTTGAAAATGACATGGATAATTTAATTTATTCCAGGGTTAAATTTATATACAAGTAAAGAAGACATCATTCCTCGTAATAGTAAAAATAAAATTGTCAATACACAGGGTAGAACTCTTATAGATTTGTGTAAAAATAATGGTATACATTTACTTAATGGTAGATTACCTAGAGATACCAGTGTAAAAATAATGATATACATTTACTTAATGGTAGATTACCTAGAGATACCAGTGTAAAAATAATGATATACATTTACTTAATGGTAGATTACCTAGAGATACCAGTGTAAAAAT